TGCCGACGAGGTGGCTTGATAGGGTTTGTTGGTGCATTTTTTGTTCTTTTGTCTTTGTTCATCACCCTCTCATGCTACACGTTCGCACTTCCAGCCCAGTAAGGCACCAACGGTGGAGGAAGTGCCCACGATCTTGCCTCCTGACGAGGTCCAGCAACTGCCTCTGAAACATGTGGCAAAGGCAGATGAGGCGGCTTTGGATCATTGACTGAACTGCAGAGATCTGTAAGAGAAAAATTGCTTCCTGTTGTCATTTTTGATGTTGACAAAGACATTGACGTTGCTATTGTGATTGTTTGCTATTTTTTTTGGGGTCGGCAGAGTTTTGGCTTTTGGTATTCTGGAAGGCTCGCCTCCATGCCCAGCAAACCCAAGAAGCTCCCCAGGAATCTATCGCTGCAAGACCATGTGGCGCTGTTGGGGGACGACCAGCTTGACCCTGGTCATCAAAGAAAAAAATTAAGAATGGAGCTCCTCAAACCTTTGTCCATTGAAAGGGAATGCGGTGCTCTTTTGAGGTCCATGACAGTGACACTGGGGGACAAGAGCTATGAGTGGCGCTATCTTCACCCATGCGCTTTGATGATTGAGCTGTGCAAAGCGCAGACAGAACTCGGTGACTGTTTGCGGTCAATGAACTCACCCAGACTGGCCTTTTATATGGACGAGATAAAGCCTGGGAATGTATTGAGGCCAGATGCATCTCGCACCATCTCCTGTTGGTACTTCACATTGCTGGATTTGCCCCCTTGGTTCCAAACCCGCCAAGAAGGCTGGTTCTTCTTTGGCTGTTTCCCAACGAAGTATATCCAGGATCCAAGTGACTATAGCCACCTGTTCCAACTAATGCTGGAAGTGTTTTTCAATGGTGCTTTGAGCTTCGAAGGTGGCTTTCCACTCAAGAGTTCTCAAGGAATCTTTCTGTTCCAGGCACGGATGGGGGCCCTCATGTGCGATGAGAAGGCACTTTGCCAGCTGTGGGGTTTGCGTGGTGCCAGCGGCACAAAACCATGCGTTTTGGGGCACATGACCCCTGATCAAGTTGAAGGGCATCATTGGCTTGTGCATTACTCATGTCCAGACAGACATCGTTTTGCACCACACACTTCTGATACTTATTGGGACATGCGGAATCATTTGGCTTCTGTGTCTGGCAGGAAGGCGGATGTGCAGAAATATGGGCAACTGTATGGCTTGCATTATAGTCCTGAAGGCATCCTTTGGGCTGGTCACTTGCGAGGCTCTGTGTGCCCCATAGAACACACAATGTACGATTGGATGCACATTCTTGTGGCGAGTGGTGGTGTGGGGCAATATGAAGTAAATGAATTTGTGAAAGCTGTGAATGAGCTTGGGATTTCGATGGCTACCCTAGATTGCTTTGCTGCTGCCACGTCCCTTCCCAAAGCGCGTCAAAAGCTCCACAAGAGTTTCTTCCAAACACGTGTGAACACTGAAGAAGCTTCTCCTATCAAATGCTTTGCCAGTGAAATTCTGGTAGCTGTTCCAGCTCTCGTGTTGTTTGCAGAGGTGTTTTTGGAGCCGGCTGGCCACCTGCCTGACCGTTGCCGTTGCCTCAAGCACTTGGCAAATATCTTGGACATTGTTTCTCAGCTGGCAAGGGCTTTGCAATTCATTGATGAATTGCGGGTGGCTATTGACAACCACGCCGTGCTGTTTCAGGCACTTTACACAAAATGTGTGAAACCGAAGTTTCACTGGTTGTTCCACCTGCCCCAGCAGTATGCCCATTTCAAGGCCAATGTAAGTTGCTTTTGCCCAGAACGCAAACACCATGCGGTGAAAGCTCTTGCAGCCCACGTCCTGAATGACCATACAGGCCAGCATGTGGCCATGAGAGTTGCTAATGAGACCTTGTTGAATTTTGAACACAAGTCTGTATGGAAACCCATTTATTTGCATGGACGAGCGCGAGAAGTGTCCAATGGGGCTGCGGTGTTTTCTCTTTGGGACAAGGACATTGCCAAAGTGTACACCAGCAGGACTTTGATGACAACCACTGGTTTGGTGTCAGAAGGTGACACAGTGTTTGCGCCCTCCACCTGCAAAGTCTTTGTTACTCAGACCTTTTTGGAAGTATGGCTTGTGTCAGGATCAAGCACTTTCATGGCCCAGGTTACAGAGCACAAATGGAAGGAAGCCTGTTTGTTTGAGCCTTCCACTTCCACATCCATGGTAATTTGGGAGGAAGGTTTCAAACCTGTGGCTTCGACCTTGAGATCATGCGGCTCTGTTCATGTTTGTTTGGGGGGTTGGACAAAACACTTCTGAGGCTCGCCCAGAAAGTGTCTTAGATCACGCAGTTCAAGCAAGCTTAGGGGTGCAAAAAAAGTTATCTTTCGCTTTATTGCATATCTTCGGACGTCAAAAGTTGCATGATGTCATTTGTGGTTTGATGCCATGTGTTGCCAGATGGTTTGATGTCATGCGTCGAAATTCAATTGTTGTATTCTCTTGTCCATTCATGAGCAGCTGCTTAGACCATCATTCTGTTGAGCAAGGCTTTCCTGCGCATTCTTTGAGGGCTCGCCTCAGAACAATGTCACAGGCCCCTTCCACTGTTTCTTCGGCACCTGCGACTCCTTATCTGAGCGAGTCTGGCGTGGCAGTGCCAGATTCAGATCACTGCTGCACATGTATGAAGCCAGTGGACGAGGACAATTCTTTGGTAGTTTGCCGCAAGTCCTCCAAGCAGGCGGACATCAGACGCTGTCGTAGCTGCCACAATCTACGAGCAGCAGTTTGTCGCCTGCAAGCGACACATGGGGATTTGGTTCGCGACTTCACAAAGGTGGAGGGGGACAAGGTCACTGCATTTTACGCGGCGAACGGGGATCTTCGCGGTGATGCTTTGCGTTCCAAACTGGAAGAAGTTGTTACTCAGTGGAAAACACAGAACACCAGGGTTGAGTTCAATACAGATGCATGGGGACTACATGGACGAGTATGATTTGGCTGAGAAGTACAAGAACAAACCAGAGTACATTGAGAGCATCAAGAACAACGCCCGGAAGTACTATTGTCCAGTGAAACAGGTATGGATGTACTGTGACCCAAGGTACAGCCACCGAGTTCAGGACGTGCTAGAACATGGCAAGAGTGAGAAAAAGGAAGGGTGTATTTGGACTTGAAGACTCAGAAGCAAAGGCCCCTCGCAACAACAGGAAAGACAAGAATGGGAATCCCGGGCCACAGGAGGCTGAAGCCAAGCTGAAGGCGGGGGGACAAGAAGAAGCTTGGGAAAAGCTTGAACAGGTTGACGCCAAACGGCTTCAACTTGATGACCTTTGCTCCAAAGCCAAAACCTATGGCACAATGATCCCTGATTACGTCTTGACCCATGTCAGGGATGTGGGGGCGGGAGTTGTGGAAAGCACCAACAAAGGTCAAGCGATGTTGAGCAATTCAAAGGGTATTGCAAAGCCTGTGATGGATGAGCTGGACGCCCACTTGGAGAAGATGACCGAAGCTTCGTCTCGCTTGAAGTCACAGGTAGATCAGGCTGCAGCTTTCAAGTGATTTTGGACTGAGGCTCGCCCAGTCTTGGCTCTTAATGTTGGGCGGATCGCGGTGTGTGTGATCACACTTTGGGGGAGAGAGGAAAAGAAACGGCACTGCAGTTGATTTGTCAAGCATTCATTTGTTTAAAGAATAATAAAGAATATATAATATGGGACCGTGTCACCACCGTGTCACCACCGTGTCACTGTACTACACCGTGTCACCACCGTGTCACCAGCATGTCACCACCGTGTCACCAGACTAACCCATATATAAGTGGACATGTTCTGACACAGCACTGCAAGGAAACTAACTTACACGAATCAGGACAAGCCAAACGAAGCAACAGAGACAAAACCTCAAACAAGTGATTCAAAGTTCCAAGCAGGTCAATAAATATGACAAACATCATTAGTAGCAATCACGAAGTATCAGTAATCAATATATTATTGACGATTACCATTGATGATGTAAACTATTTGCAGCCCTGGGCGAGCCTCAGGGCGTAGAATATAATGTAAGACCTATATATATATATAAGTGGGTCCATGGGCGAGCCTCACAGTATGAATGTATAATGATCTCTTTGGAGTCATGTGCACATGGAAACATGCAGGCAGTGCTTTATAGTTGCTGTCATATTCACTGTGTGCGGCTTCAAGCAGCAAACCAGGGCATAGCAGTGGAGCGACTGACAAGTTGGCCATGGCCCCTGCAGAGATGACTGAGAAGACTGGTGAAACACGAGGTCGCAAAGAAGAACATGATGAAGCAACACAGCGCTTATTGAAGAAGAGAACGCTGATCTTGGGTGAGGTAGATTCATCTTCAGATGAAATGGACGACTCAGAGTCTTTTGGTTCCAAGTTGGACCGCATGTTCCCTGGCTGGTGGGAAGAAGATCAGCACGTGGCTGAATGCAGGTGCGACTTTTGCTTGTTTTATCATGGCCACAGTCCTGCTCATAGTGATGGGGAGCCACCGTTGTCCTCAGCCCTGTCCCCTGCTGGGCAACCTGAACAGGCTGCAGCTCCACCCAGCCCAGTGGCTGCATAGTTGTGGCAAGGCTCGCCTGCACAACTTGGATTAATTAGTATTAGACAAATGTTTCTTGATGGAACTTTGTGTTTATCAACACATCAGCCACCCCAAATTCTGGGCTGACAATTTCATCAATTTGGGATCATTTGCAACCGTGTGAGCCACGCAGGCTTACAAAAACAAAAGCGCGAGCGTAACGTCTGGAAGCCAATATGTTTTTGCTTGTGATTTGTGAATTGCTGATTGAGGCAATTTGTTATGAACGCATTTGAATTTGCTGTTGATATGAAGGAACATGTCGCATGTTTGCTTGCGTCTTGAATCTCAAGCAGGAAGTGAGGCTCGCCCTTGAATCAGGCCATTGCAAAACGATGGTGCGGACTTCCAAAGTTTCCCATCAGGGAGGCTCGCCCCCTGAGCCCAATAATTGGGCAAGCATGGTGGCACCCCTTGGCACATTTGCGCGTCCTTTGCATGTGGCCATGCCATGTGTGGGAATAGACGGATGTGGAACGGCCTTGAAGCTGATGTCGGTTCCCTTTGTGGCAAACAATGTCATGGACATAGAAGGCAGGTATGAAGAATACTTGACCCAACACCTTGGCCAATCCAATCTGCACCTTGGCCCAACAAAGGGCGATGTCAATTCCATTTCCCTCCAGGGATTGGAAAGGCCAGTGGACATGATCGCCTCAGGGCCACCATGCCCGCCCTGGGCGGGCAATGGTAAACATGAGGGGCAAGCAGACGCTCGGTCTACAGTGTTCTTGTCGGTTGTAAAGATGATCCTAGGATTCATCAAGGCTGGCGAGTTGAAAGCAGCAGTATTAGAGAACGTAAGAGGCATTCAGTCAAAGCAACGGGGAGCATCTGAATCCTTCATCCACAAACTCGTCTATATACTCCAACAACAGGTTCCGGAGTTTCATTGGGAGGTCGTGGAGCTTCAGGCGGCAAGCTACATGCTTGCCCAGCAAAGGGGACGCATCTTTTTGAGGGGCCTGAGGACATCCATTGCGCCCCAAGTTCCAACGCCACTGAGTCCATTTGGAAATCGCACCCTCCAGGAGTTCTTAGATGAGTCCCTCCCATGCATCGACCGCAATTCCTTGACGGCCTGCATGCAGAAGAATCTCATGGGCGCAGAAGTTGTAATGAAGCAAATGCTGACAGATGGGAAAGTGGAGCCCACAGACCTTTTGGTCTTTCCACTAGATCGAGCTGATGGTAAGGTGTATCAGCGCAGGTATTCCATCAACCTGGTACCAACCCTTACCACCACGAACAAATACTTGTTTGTAGCATCTTTGGATTTTCACAGAAAGGACGCCAAGCGCAAGTGCTTTCGCTTCTTGCATCCCTCAGAAACTTGGGCAGAACTTGCAGTATCCTTTTTTGTGTGTTATTTGTTCAATCTTGATGCCATGTGTTGTCAAATCTTTTGGTGTATTTTCGCACATATGACACATTAAAGTTTCTGTGTTTGGACATCTTCACATGCCAGTTGGCAAACATGTGGGTATGTTCAGATGTGATTTGTAATCTCATTTGCTGGGTGGCATTTGTCATCATTTGTCCTTTGTTGTCAGATGGACTTGGAACCAAGGAGAGGATGGTGTTGCAGGGCTTTTCAAAGGATGTGCTTGATGGCTGCCCTGATTCCTTGAGAGTTCAGGGGTCTGGCAACGCCTGCCCTGTACCGTTGCTGACGGCAGTTCTACATCCTATCCTTGAAGCCATTCGGCCAACCATCAAGTCAGCAATTCCTGCAGGCGGCAGCTTGACTTGTGCTGCAGCAACAGCTGCCTGTGCGAAGTTTGATCTTTATATGGAGGAGTGCGCGCAGAGTATGTCTGGCCCTTTGACAAATGCTTTGGCCAAAAGATCCATGAAAGTTGCAAAGCCTATGAAATCCGCTCCAAAACGAATAAAGGCTGCAAAACCGATGAAGGCTCCAAAATCGACGAAGGCCACCAAGAAGAAGAGCCCTCAGAAGCATAGCAAAAACACCAAGAAGGTCAAGAAACATGTTCCAAAGACAAGGGCGGCGAAACCCATGCGATATAGATTCATGTCATCCTCATCGTCTTGAACGGTGGAAGTTTTGGGTGGCAAAGGCTTCACTTTGCAGAGCTCAGATATGTTGGGGAGAAGTGAAAAAAGGACTCCAATGTTTTATATGTTCCCATGATGAAATCTTGTCGTGTCATTTGCAGTTTTGCTGAACTGTTGCTGGATTGCTGATTTGTGTCGCCATCGCTGCTGTTTTAGATTTTGAGACGGCTCGCCTCTCATATATAGGCACTCTTGCAGCATGGCTAAAGCTGTTGAGAGGCTTACAGACATGCTTGGTTTCCTCACCACGTTGAGAGGCCTTAAGTCTGATGCAGACTCCATTGACACCCAAAAGAGGCTGCTCAATGCTTGTTTGGTGGATGTACGGCAAAGTCCAGGTTTTTCAGCCAGTGATGGCAAGAAGATGTTGGAGGAGGTTCGATCTGCGACGATTCCTGATTGGATGAGAGATGAAATACTACAGTGCGTACAGGACATGGTTGTTTCAGGTGTTGGTGGAGAGAAAGAACGTAAGGGCAGAGTGCCTATGCAAAGGAACCTTCACCTGTACAATTACTTTACGCAGGATGAGTGGGACAGTTTGGGAAACAGCTGCAACACCCTCGACACCAAACTACAGGTGGTGAGTAAGCGGTGTGGTTTGATTGGCCTTACAGCTCCGGCGGAGACCACATACGTCCTTGCAGTGTCCATCATCATCATGGCTTGCCACAAGGGCCAGCCCGAAGATTTTGTCATCGATGCTCAGAAAACATTTGGGATGCTCAAAGATTTGAAGGTGGTGCTTAAGAATGTGTGCAAAAGAACTACACACAGTGGGTTACAAGTCTATCCAGAATCCCCCAGGGACCTGAGCGAGGAGTTGCTGAAAGCAGCATACCAAACAGCAAAACCTGCAAAATGTCTGTTGGATATTCTTGAATGGCTTAGCTACTGATTTGCCAGCGAGAAATACACACAGCAAAATTCGTTCCAAAGGCGCGCTGCGAACCTTCCAGAAAGATGAGAATGTGAAAGAATTTATGATGATGCAAATGTTTGAGCACATGATGTCGCGCCACAACAAAAGTCATGTGACACCACAGGTTGTGCAAATGCTGCCTTCCAAGAGGAAACCCCTCGCCTTGCAAGATCAACCTGCGGAAACTTCACCAGAGAAAGCTGAAGAGACTGCAGAAAAGGAAGAAGCAAAGGAAGAGGCACCAGCTGCCAAGAAAAACTGTTTGGGCGCAACGCCAGAAATGAAATGCATTGAGGACATGGCCGCGATGGTTGAAGAGCAGCTGAAAAAGAACAAGGTGCACAACAAAAAAAACAAGAGACTGAAGAAAATGAGGCTGAAAACCAGAAAGCAAAGCAGGTGAAAACCAAGAAGGGCACCAAAAAGGAGCTGTCCCAACTCCAGTTTTTGGGCACCAAAGCCAGAGCTCCAATTAAGCTGGAAAATGTGACCATTTACACGTGTCCAAACAGCTCGAGTTGGCGTGTGAAAAAGAACGACGAGAAGAAGGACAAGGCTTTCAGTTGGAAGGCCAATGACCCAGAGACCACCTGGGCTCGCGTGGTGGCACACGTGAAGAAGCTGGGGGTGAAGTAGGCAGAGGCTCGCCCTGCCGAACGCGTGTTTGGGGAATGCGACGCGCTGTGCGGCAAAAAACGGTGCTGGGGAACTGCGCGCGTGCGTGCGTGCGTGCGTGCGTGCGTGCGTGCGTTGGGGTGGGCAACGTGGGGAACTTATAAGTTAGTTACGGGCAACGTAAATTTCACGAAGATTTGGAACTTACATATAGTTATAACTTATAGTTATAAGTTGCTAAAAGCAAAAACCGCTATAGTAGCCTTGGTTCCAGGCTTCCTGCTCCAGATCCTCTTCATCAGCTTCATCCCAGTCATCGTCTTCATACAGGGTTTCTTCTGCTTCGTCCTCTTCTGGGATACCTTCTTCATCATCACCCCAATCTGGCTCTTCCTTCACCTCAGCCAGATGTGCACGGGATGAGCGGCGCTGATGATAGCGGGAAGACCTTGAAGCCGAGGAGTGCTTCCACTTGCGGGGCTGCCTGTCATGGGCCTTGTACTTGCCTTCCTCCGCATGGATGTTGGCACATCTGAAGCGAAGCACCTTCTCGATGGCTGTGGACACGTACTTGCCTCCAGCGCTGTAGAAGATGTCCATCCTCTCCTTCTTCGTGAGCGATGCCCGACTGAGCATTCTCTGGCGGCGGGCCCTGGCAACTGAGGTAGATGAGCATGGCCAATTCGGCATCGTCCAACCTGTAGAGCGCCTGTTGCGCTTCAATCGCGCGCTTCCATTCCTTGTAGTGTGTCCTGGAGCCCTTGAACATCTCCAGCCTGACCTGGCTCAAGGATGGCTTGGATCTGTCCTGCTGCTTTCGGGCCTGATGGGCCAGCATAGCCCGCAGTTCACTGGTGCCAGCAGTCGAGGCATTCGAGCTGGTCCTGTTGGAGCTCGCGGGAGAGGAGGCCCGGTTGGATGAGGTCCGATTGGATGACACTCTGCCTGTCGAAGGACCCGACGGACCAGAAGATGGGGGATCTGGCGGTCGCGGCCGCGGAGTCGAGGCCCCCTGCTGTCATCGGTGTACACGGAAGGCTCCACGGAGGATCTGCTTCAAACTGCTCCTCCTCTTCACTTTCTTCGCCTTCCTCGTAGGAGTACTCCGAGAAGTACTCATAGCCATCACCTCCACCATCTCCATCATCATCATCATCGTCATCATCGTCATCGTCCGGTGGGTCCGGACCTGGTGGAGCAGGCTTTGACTTCTTGGCCGCCGGCTTTGGAATCTCCTTCTTCTCCTTGCCACTCGGCCTGGCCTCCTCATCTCTTCCCTTTTTCTCCTTCTTCTCTTTCTTCTCATCACGCCCCGGCGAAGACTTGGTTCTCGCCTCCTTGGACTCCTTGCGGTCCTTCTTCTCCCTGTGCTCCTTCTTGTCCTTCTTGTCTGCCGAACGGTCCTTCTCCTTCTTGACCTTCTTGTCCTTCTTCGTGTCCGCAGACTTCTCCTTCCGCTCCTTGGTGTTCTGGGGCGGCTGAGGCGAACGGTCTTTCTTCGCCTTCTTTTCCTTCTTCACTTTCCGGGTAGGTTCATCCGGATGCCCCAGGGTGGATGCTCGCGGGGACTGGGAGGCCCTTTGAGCTCCTTTGGATTGGCCTTTGGCTTGTCCATCTTCACGGCGTGGTAGATACCAGGAACCATCCATGGAGGCTGATGGTTCATACGACAGCCATTGAAAGCCAGTCCAAAACATCCATACCCCTGTTGTCGGGGACCGGTACCAGCCTGGCACCTGCTGCGACCATCCTGCACGGAAAGTCTGCTCGGCAGTGTGGGTGTCGTGGCCAGCAGTGTCACTTCTGCCCTTTCCTGGATTGGCGCGTCCACGACCTCGGCCACGTGCTCGTTGTCGTGACCGTCCTCGGGCATCTTGTTCTTCTGTGGCTCTGGACTCCGTCCCTTCCCATGTGGGTACCGGAATGGCCTCAGGCGCCAAGTCGGCCATCCGGTCCTACAGGCCCAGGTGTCAGGGCCGCCCTCTCTTTCGAGGGCTCCGCTACCAATGCGGAGTTAGATGGGCTCAAAACGAAAAGTGGCGGCAGCCAGCAGCAAATCTTTTGCTGAGCTGTGCTTGATCAAGCTGCAGATTGCAGCATCGTGCAAACAACACACCACCGCACACCACCTTACGCCAATCTTCACACAAGCATCATTCTGCATGTGCGCCCTTGTCCAGCTACTCTGTCCATACATGTGCCCTGCCTTCTTTCATCGCCTTTCGGGGTGGGGATCGCTCGACATAGTGTATTTTGTTTTGTGGTTTTTGGTGTCTGCTTTACCAGGGCCGGCACACATTGTATTTCCCACAGCCGGTGCATCGGAAAATGCAGGCACACGTATGGAAATTTTGATTGCATTTTGCAATCCCTTCGAGTTCATTGCGGCCCCTTGCAGTTTTGCATTCTTCCTAATTCTTGATTCCTTAGAACAATCATTTTGATTCCTACTGATTGCCTATTAAGTACCTATATAACTATTTATATTGGTTTCCGTTTAAACGCCTTTGGAAATCCTCTTGATTCTTGTTGATTCCATTTAATATAATTTTCCTTTCTATGGGTTACCTCTTAAGTTCTTGACATTTGTTTTTTTTACATCTTAACTTAGTCTTAGTATATACATCTTATCAAAATATTGCAAAACTCAATTCCCTAAGGGGGTAGCTCAGTACACTCGCAATGTTGAATAATAAAACCTCCTACAATGATGTATGCTTCTTTTTGCTTTAGTAGAACCACTCCCTGGACTATTGCTGACGCTTCTACATATTGAAATTATGACACCCTCAAATATTGTCTGCACTTTTGCTCGTATGCTTTTAATGATAAGATCCCCGGCAGTAATGTCTGCACTTTGCATTTTTCACTTTCTATTCTTGAATTGCCTTCTAACTATTGATTTCCAACGAGAGGAAGGGCTGAAAAGCAAAAGAAAATTTCTTGTTCCACAACAGGTGCTGTAGAAACAGGGCTTCACAGCCGCCCTTTTTCCATAGCTGTTTCTCGTATCATTGGACTTTACACTTTGCAAGTTGCTCTCTGTCACCTTTTGAAGATCCACATGTCGAAAGTAAAGATACTTGCCACCCGCAATTCTATAGCATGGGATACATCAGACTCTGTGAGCCGGTATGGGTTGACATATGCGCACATGGAGACTGCTAGCAGAGCTGCATGAATCTAATGAATGTACTTTGTTACCTCATGAAAGCTGCAAATATGCGGACTGATATGAAGACAACCTCATAGCACATGAGGTATGGCGGATGAAAGAGTAAAGTCAATGAGATAAAAGAGCTGAAAAGCAGGAAAAGACAGATCATGGGGTGGGGGGTGAGCATATGTATTTATATCTATATATACAAACACATATGAATGTAATTATATATATATACATAGCTGCCAACTCAACATTTGGCACCATTCAAAGCCAGATTTCGGGATGCACACTTTTTACAGTTTACACTACATCTTAGTTGCTTATCCGTTGAACAGAGTGAGTGCAAAATTGACAACCTGGCCTTTCTTCACAAACTCTACCCTGGAATCGCTGTCCTGCGGGGCAGTCCGATCTGTGAGAATCGCGGTGGAGCTGCTCAAGAGACCGGCCTGGCGGAAAAATCTGGTTCGCTGGACATCGCTTTTTCGCAGCTCCTATAGGTGCTGATTTGTCGGAAAAAAAATGCAGTTGAGCTGACCGTGATGGCGTCAGGATCGACGCGAAAGTAGCAATATGTTGAGTCGCAAGTTTCTGCCCCGACCATGTTCGCTTCTCCCGATGGGCACCAAAGTGCCGCGATGCTTGGTGAAGCCGACGGCTTGCAATAAAATGAGGAAGAGTCAAGTTCGACATGTGTGCCCATTTTACGAGGCGACTGATGACCAGCTGCAACAGCTTTTAGGTTGGCCCTTTTATGACAAGATGGTGCTCAAGCGTTTGGCCCATGTCTTGGGTCAGGAGTTCCGGTGAATCGGCATTTTGTCTGTGGTGCGCTGAATTTGCTTTGGCTATATTATCATATGTTGTCTTCATTTAGAGGTGAAGTTAGGAGCGTGTGCATCAAACTCATGTAACTGTATATAGCAGCTATAGCAGGCTTTCTATGTCTGAAAAACTGATGAGCCTCATAAGAGAATTATTCTCATGGTGGGCCTCTTTTCGTTTCACAGAGCCCACCAATGGTGGGCTCTGTGAAACGAACAGATTTGGAAAATGCAAGTAAAAGCAAGTCACTGAGTTACAATACAATATGTCAGTCAGGGATAATCAGTGAGGGTGTCTTTTGCAGGCTGTTTTAGGGGTTTTGGCTGCCCGTTCGAAAGCCTCAGGGGACAGCTCACCTTTCTAGTTCAGCCGTGGTCTACTTTGCAACTAACTAGCGTCTTCCTCGGTCAAGGGTGAGGGTGTCCATACTCTTTTTCGACAAAAAGAGACTATTGACTATTGTTTCTCTCATGTTCACATCTGCTTCTTTTTTGCATTGCACAGGCCGAAGCGGAGTGCAGAATCCAGTGGTTAGGTATCTGCTTTGCAGAATGAGTTGAAACTTACAAGCCTTGCGGCTCCATTGTTGCCCATCTGAATGATTGGGAAGGTGAGACAATTAAAGTAACAAGAAGGGTGGAGGAAGAGGAACACAAAAAAGGAGCACAAGGAGAGGACATCTAGCACTTTGACTACGGCCGGGCCGGGAATGTGCCTGCTTTCGGTGACGAAGCTTTCGGTGACAAAGTGGGCGACAAAGGGTCAGAAAAAAATTGCCGCGCCTTTGCCATTGTTGGGTCAAGTTGTTGACTAGATTTCTTTGATGACAGTTGTAAGGATTCTCCGATATCCTTTGATCTGCATGCGTCTAATCTAATCGTTGAAATTTTGACATCTGCTTCATGTCCGGAATTGACAACACTCACTGCGCCTCCAAAGTTGCCCGTTCCTGTGCAGCAGCCAATTCCAGCTGGGTGTCCTTCCCACCGTGAGGTCAAAAGGAGCACTGCAGTTTTGAATGCAACACAGTTTTGAATGTCGCAGTCAACAGCTTCATGAAACATTTTCAGACATGAAAAGCAACTCGGCCATTGAATCAAGATGCTGCTGCTGCTTCCAAAAAAGTGAACTCTTTGGGGCTGTCCTCTATCTTAACCAGTACAAGTTTAATGCCGTACACTGTGGAAAGTTGTGCCTCTTGACTTGCCTTTTGCCCTTTTAAACGACAAGTTTCCTGCGTACCACATCTTGCGGTCGGATTTCCGCACCGCCTGAAAGCCTTGCAAGTATTGGAATATATTGGAATTATAAATGAGCTTCATGAGTGTATCTAAATGGGTGTGGAAATCTGGCGGTGCTGCAAAACACACACACACAAGAACAGACTGTAACAGACTTTCAATCCGATGACCGCACCTATTATGTAAAAACATATCAAGGGGCATTGACTTTATCCGTTCTGACATGTCCTGCAAGATCCTGAAAGTATATATAGTGCATCTTTTTTTGTCATGTGTGCTTTCCTGTACTTTTAAGCTGCATTCACTCCAAATCACGTCAGTGATACTGCAAGAATAGTCAACCGTTTGCTTGGTTCCAGGACCGTATCGGAACGTATCGGTCTTAGAAGGCTAGGCACCGCTACCACCTCAAAACAGGTAAGCCTTTGTGTCCACCTCTGTCTTCCCAGTACAGTTGAGGGATATTCAATGCACCACCCCACCCCTCAAACAGGACGCTCGAGAGGCTGGCTAATATGATTATTTAATTATATACCCTTGTGCTATGGGGACAAGGACAAAAATCACATATATAAATCCTACAATATCCCACAATTCTGTAACACATTGAACCCCTTATCAACTCTGAGCCCACCTGATTCAACCCACCACGCCGGAATCAAGCTGCGCAATATCTCTCCTCAATGGCGCCCTTCATTATCTGCCTTTTTTCGGCCAAGTCCTTCCAAGGGAGCGCAGCCAACTGATGCCACCATCTGTTGGAATTATGCTGAACACATGTCATGACAATGATGTACCACAACGTACAAGCTCTGTGGATCCAAATCAAATCGGTTGTTCCCTCGAACCGAAGCAGCTGAAACCCAAGGGAATGTTGTGTCGCGTCGAACGCCGACTGGTGGTGTTCCTGCTCGTATCTCTCAATTGCATCATCCAACTGTTGCCGCTGCTCCACGGACTTCTGCAGTGCCTGACAGTATTCCAGCCCGGCCCTTCTTGTAACTACATATTCAAAGGCACTCTTGCCAGCGCAGGCAATCATACCAGGCCTACAATCACCACGGCCACTGGCACTTCACCATTGACTATTTTCAATCAGCTTCCACACCAATCAGGCCTTGACTTGGTCATGGCCCAACTGCACTATGTCTGCTAGCAGCAAGGGAAGTACGTGCATCAAAGCAAGTTTCACTAAAACTTTAGGATACTTTGGGAACCATGTGAATAGTGTGAGCGTGAGCTTTCCATCGGAGCCTCGTACCTGCCTAAGCTTAGTAGGAGGAACCTACGAACGTGAGGTTCAATCTTGTGTATTTTGCCTACGCTACCACTGGGGAATTGGTTTTGAACTTTTAGGATTTGGGCAAGCAAACAAGCAAACAGCATGATAGCAAACTGTTCAATGCCTACGCCAACCTTTAATCAGCCACCAATGATGTCAGTGCTTATATACAGTAAGCCCTTTCATCTCAAAAAAATATCAGCTCATATAAGTCATTCTGTGACTATAGAATATACAAGAGCCGTGGAATTCAGTACCGCACTACTACACCGCTCTTTAGAAGCCCTATCTCGCCTAGTAAACCCAATGCTGTCACGCTTACATGACCTCGTTTGCCCTAAATTCGTTAGCAAAAGACAAACAACGTCAAGTAGCAGTTTGCCGTTCTTACTGGAGGCCCCATCTTTTTGAATCGGATGAATCTAGTTCCCAAGCTACTTCAAATGTAATGGCATTGAACCCCCCAGAAACCGGACATGTGCCTAGAGGAGCTTCCCATTTCTTTGCCAACTGACTAAATTTGGAGGCTGTTGTAGAGAAAATTTCCAGAAAACTACGAGGTGAGTGAATTGTCCAGACTGTCAGAATCCATCAGTTCAATAAAGGAAAGCATCATCACTTTCCTTGCCCTTGTGAATGACTGTGACAGGCAAAAAACGATGTTGGAAAGAAAGCTAGAAAGCTTTGCTTGCCGCACAAATAGTCTGAGTTGAGCCGAAGCCAACTCTTTTCCTCTACTAGACGGTACAACAGGCATTGGCCAAACAGTGGCGTCATCAAGCTCAAAACGATAACGGAACTCCAAACGAGCAAGTCCTTGGACACTGTTCACATATCGGACTCATCTCCCAAAGCGCAATAGGCCCAGGAACATATCACATATTGCACGTGCAAGCAATAAAGTGAAGTTACCTATATACAGCGTCCCACAGGTGAATACACTGAAGCCAACTGCAATAATTAAACAATTAGTTTAGGGCAAAGCCGCCAAAGTAGTTTCTTCCCTCAAATGATCCTCTTCAAGAGATGCTAGAACATGTTGATAGCTTGTAAGAGGCTTAGCATCCTATCCAAGTCTATGTTGAATGATGTTGATTCCGATAAGTGTTATAGTCATAGTCTTTCCAGCATCCTGGAGCTGCCAACACCATTTCCAGCAATTGTCGAGTGGCAAGCGCTTAAAGCAAGCAAGTGGCATTCCTGTTCAGGAAAACCTATCTGCCACAGAAATCCCCTTTCGCAGTAGGAATTGGAAGGCTACATGAAGCCAACCACTGTTGCGCAACGACCAACTCTTACCTTGCAATTATAGTCTAGTATCTTACAGACTGACGTGGGAAAGCTGATCACGCCAGGCCATTGCCACAGAAGCGCTGCTCGGCAATTCAAAAAAGGTACTCGAGAGCACTTGAGCCATCTACGGCAAATGCACGTCTACGCTTTCAGTGAGAGGAGCACTTGCTGTGTCGAGTTTTCATTATGTGTCAAGGCCCAAACATAGAATTTAAGAATATGTTTAAACAATCAGGTAGCGGACCCATGAGGAAACAATTAAGACATGGAAGAGGCTTGCCTAATGACTAGTTTGCCTTGAGTTCCACGCCCACTCGGCGGATCTCAGTCAACATCCTTGGTCATCAACCATCAACAGCATGTTTACAGCGTATGATCCTGGTGAATCTGCATGAACAAACAGTCTGGTTGCAAAACGTTCCATCCACCCTTGATTGGAGGTCCAAAGCCAACATCCATCCAGCACTTCAAGGCCAAAACATTTCCCCAAAATGCATTTCACCACTCAGGACCGCGAAGCCCTCTCTCTGTAAAGATGGGAATCACAAGACTTTAAAGGGCTGTCCACTTTCCAAAATGGTCATAGTGTCATCCAAGGATCAAGATCGCCTCCGCTTTCATTCATCAGGGCCGCGACTCCCTTGTCGTTCAATTGCATCTCACCCTTCCTGTCATAATTGAACCTGAGAGAAACTAGTGACAAGGACGCCATTAGTAACAAGTGCATCGCTTCTAGTAACAAGTGCCTTACTAGTAGTAACAAGAAGCTATTAGTAACAAGTGCCACACCACTAGTAACAGGTGCCTTACTAGTAGTAACAAGAACGCTACTAGGGGCTCCTGGCATCGAAAAGAACACGCACGGTTCCTTCCTCGTTCATTTGCGGGGATCACCATGGACTGTCAACTGTGAGCAGCCCCATATTTGCCAAACATTTTACTCTCAGTGCAACAAGAAAAATGCAAGGCATGTCAAGGTTACGGCACAAATTTACTGATTTTTTATGACTCAAACATGCGGATAAAACACAAGGAAAGGACAAGCCTATTGGGCAGTTTCAGAAAAGCACTGGTCCTCACTTCAGTGAGGAGATACAAGGAGTGCAATCAGATTCTTGCAGATTGTTCTCCAAGCACTTCCACAGCTGAGCTCGTCACAGGCTGGGGTGCTTTCCTTGGCTTCCGAATGCTCCAACTTTTTGGTGCAATGTGCCGGGTCATCTCATCAGCAAATCCATCTTGAGGGAATGGAAGATTTCCAGCAAACCAACAGTCAAAGCACCTGGATGGCCAAGCAGCGCATCTTCTCGTGATAATAACATGAACTGGCAGTCAGTCCCCATCAAAACCGCGCGTGCAATTGCATGAAAATCGTGATTGAAGTATACACAAGTTAAATATATATATACTTATATACCTGATAAATCTTATTTGAGGGGTCATTGAGTTATCTGTCATAATACGGTTGTCTGCAAGCAAGCTGGTAGTCTCTGACTCCGATTTGGCTCCTGCACTTCAATTTTTTTGCCAACATTCAAGCGAGCTCTTGCAAGAAAGAAGCCGTAGACTTTGGAGTACGGCGTGATGACATGAACCTCGAAAGGAATGGCCAAATCCGGGTTGAGTATCACACAAAAGTATACAAAAGTAACAAAAGCGAACAATTTCACCTTTCATCCGAAGCCCAAAGGACTATGGCACAATTGAAAATAATTGTACAACTGTTGTATAAACAAGAATTAAGACAGGTTGGTGGAACTAGAACTTTGCATTTGTCTGTGCACTTGTTCCTGCGCAGTGGCAACCGAGAAGGCAAACAACCAATCTCATTGCCAAGTAGCAGTGTTCATGGGGGTTGGGCAGAACACCACGTGGCCAGAGTCACCTCAGTCCATCGAGGCCAATTTTATACAAACCTGTGACTATATCAGGGCATGCCGACCAAGCTGCGCGGTCCATTGTCCTCCTTTTCAAGCTCTGGCTGTAGCTGTGGGCCTGTCTGTGCAAGGAACTGGTGTCACGCTTTGTTTGCAATTACACCACTGCACGTCAATTTATGCAAGATGGATCGAAACCAAAGTCCGACATGTAGTGATGCCAAAAAGAGTTGCCAGCGGCTTGCAATGCGCTGACTTCTCACTGTATCGATCTTCCCGTGAAGAGTTGATCAAGGGTTCTGCCCTACAGACCTGCAGAAACATGCATCCTTACTGTAACTATTATCGTCATCAAACTTTCCAAAGCAAAGTTGTTCATCGTTTTACACCTGCCCCAAGAGAAGCAAAGTTTGAACTTTGAACTATATAAACAATACGGGCCTCTTGGAGGATCCAGCTGTGGCAAGTATGCCGGCTTTGGCGTCTTTGGCGGGCGGCAGCCAGCATTCAGAAAGGCCAAGGCATCTCGGGTCAAGTTTCTATAACTTGCAATTCACTGCACAGGAAAGAAACCCTAGAAATCGCAGTTTCTCACAACTTTGCATTGTGTCCTTTTTTTCCAAAAGATCACGGGTTCAACAAAGGTGCCAACGTTGACACCACCAGACTTCCCGCTTGTTCTTTCAAATACACTCCAAGAATCTCCTATCATTGTTCTGCAATGCCTGCAACTGTAAAAAAGTATCCTGCAGTTATTCCACAATGTTCCAACTGCCTTACAAATACAATACATTCGAGGCAAATATAGCCGGCTCTTGGAACGAATGAAACTCCTCCCTGGCCATCTTGGCTTTGCACCTGCTGGCGTTCCCATCACGCAAAAGTCCTCCCTGAAGGAAAGGCCTTGGAAAACGAGACTTTGAGGAGATCAACCTACCTCGAAGCAAACCATGTCAAGCAGCTGAAAGCAATTGAATCTGGCGCTCTTGAAGAACAACGAGTCACGACTCAAATCCAAAGCCGCACCACTGGCTGGTCCGAGTCGCTAGAATTTCCCTTTGGCACCCGGCTCGGTAATGGAGTCAGCCTGCTAGTGATACTGACACCACCAGTGGCATGTAGTGGGTAGTCAGATGTAGTGAGATAAAGCACCTCTTTTTAGCTGGCAGATGGGCAGATGTTCCTTGAGTATGACCCACGAGCAATGAGTAGAGCAGAAAATTTTAATCATGGCCGAAACCACTACCGTTTATGAGAAGGCTCACAGCATTCATTTGTTTGATTGATGATGCTGCTGGGACTCATTTGTTTCACTACTGCCCGAATAAAAACCCAGATTAAACCAGTGTGGGACTCATACTTTGGGGAAGCTTGGTGGGTATCAAACACCTGCTCGAATCAACTCGAATCCTTAAAAGGGCCTTACCTTGGGATCAAAGGCGCCGCAGCAACAAAGGGTTTCCTGAGTTTTTTCCATGTGCCTTTGTGATAAGTATGGGTAGAACTGATCTAGAAACCAATTAAATTGTCAGTGTCTGAGGACCTTCCACCCCTTGAACCTTCCACTTTTTTTCCTCTACTTGCAGTGCCAGCCTGATCCAGCCTCTCTATCTGATGGGTGCATGTGAGGTGCATGGGCGGGGCCCTGGTAAATGGGGCAACAGGGGAAAACAGACAGACACACACAAACACGCGCGGCTAAAGCAGCAAGGCAGTGTCCGAAGGATTAATAGCAGTTAGGACATTCCCTCCGAGCTCTTGCCTGCCAGCACTGGAACATCTCTGTAGACCGCGGGCGGCGCTGCTTGGGGTCTGAAGCCTTGGCAACTGAAACGAACGAAACGAACACTTAATACATTAACCAATTTGCATCATGTACTTCAGCTTGGATGTTACCAGGCCTCTCTTGGATAGAGGAAAGGCTCAACAAGTCGCCAAGGTTTTGTCTGTGTCACTATATCCAGTGCTGGTGACCTGTGATTTTCATACAAAAGCAACCCTCCAGGTCGGAAATTGAAATGTCTAGTTATAGTTGTGTGCATTTTGGAACATGAGGAAGTCACCCAAACCACAAAAACCGTGTAAAATCCTACATGTTTTTGTCATTGTGTGTGATCAACGCACGGAGCCTGACTGTGATTCCAACAAAGCCCTGTGTCTTGCGGTAAAATTGACCAATGGTTCCTGACTTTGGTGTCTCGTTTCGTGACTCCCTTTTTGGGGAAGAGTGTAGAAGCTCATAGGACATGCAACAAAAAACTCCCGCTCTTTTTGCGGCAGTCTTCACATGTCCTGAGACGGTTGTTTGGCGCCAAGTGCCATCAGGTTGTTTGAACCTGTGTGCATGAAGCGCCACTGCCACGACCGAATCCTTCGCTCTATGAGAAAAGATTTCGAAGAGAGCGACTTTGGTACATGTTCTTTCTGTCGCCACATCAACAACTCATCACCAGTGTTTTCCACACGAACGAAACCAGCCCCCCCTGAACCTCCCGTAGAATCTTCTGTCGTCACATCAACAACTCATCAACAACACGTCATCATCATAGTGTCTATATAACATTGACATCCATGGCCACCGGGTCGGAAAGTGCAACATATATCGATTGTAAACATTAGCACGAGTACACGTTCGGCTTCCGTCCCGGTGGCAAAAACAAGCTGTGCTCCTTAGTCCTCTTGTCAAGTTCAGGCCTTCGCTTATATAATTATACATATCTTTTCTCCTCAACTACGAGTAAGTGCAAATTAAATACTATGTAACTATATAGCTATAGCTAGTTGTTTGCCCGTATAACAAGGTCATGCCGATTCTTACTTCTCACGTTAATTGCTGCACCACCATGCAATATGAACCTTAGCCTAACACCTCTCCAGTTTCTGAAGCACGAAGAAAAGTTTTTGCAAAGACCCAGCCTGTGACTGTTCGCAGCTCTTGTAGTTGATTGGACAGGCTGGAAAGAAAACACTTTTGTAAGAACACGAGCTATTGCACCTTACTATGTAACTTACGTCACAGTTGGTCACCATGATGTGGATATGGCCAAGTCACCGATAGCTCGTGAGCTCGGGCGTGCGTGCTGAGCTTCCGTCCCTTAGGAGATGGGGATCCCTGCCCCAAAGCATTTAGAAAAATAAATACGGTCTCCGCTCCGTAGCAGTACAATATACTCAGCAACACTGTATATTACTGAGTCTTGATTGTATTATAGAACTTTCGCCTGTGCCTATGTGTTTTGGATTGTGGAGTTTGGGCGTTTTCCTCACGAAGAAACGTCAGAGATCGTTGCCAATCAAAGCACGATGTGTCAAACATTGCCAGAGGCTGCTGAGTGCTTCTGGGAATACCAAAGAATCCTGTGGAGTTGGGTCACATCCTGTGCCAAGCCTAGCCAAGTGAACAAAGGCCAGCCTGTCTGGTAAATCTGCAGTGTCATTGAATCTTGCGCTTGTATGTACCTGCAATCCTGCAATCTGTTCAAGGGGCAGTTTTGACTGATCACTAAGGGCAAATTACTTGGATGGCAAGCAAAAAAAGGCCAAGATGGTGACAGCTCCTGTACTGTCTGGTTGCTGATGCGCAAGCAACTCTTGGGTGGCCCTCGACTATGTAGCTCCAGAGTTCTGCCACCGCGTTATAATCTACGTGTGTATATTGGATGACTACGCCGCCCTCATCGGCTACCCGCGGGCAACCGGCGCAATTTAGGAATGCAATAGGACGGTTGGACGTATACACACTGAGGCTCTCTTGTCGACTCGTTTCGTGTGACCGCGGTCCCATGCGCCAACCCCTGATGCAGGTTGGCACAACGTGATCGTCATTCTCGCAATACTATAGTCCCTTTCACGCATAGCCACCACCCGCCATATCGGCGTAGTCTCCAGTGTGTGTACAGGATCCACCCGCCTGAAATTCTGGCCTTGTTTTGGATGGCTCAAGCGGTTCAGTCAAGCGATTTCTTTGCACGCGCGTGGCTTGGAAATAACTCTTTGCTGCTGCAGGTCACCAACGAACCAACTGCTAGATGATGTACTGTATCCTTTACCCGTTACCCTGAAGCAAACTGACAAGCCCCAACATTCCTGGTTTGTCCAAGTCCTTCGCTTGACAAATTCTGGACACACTGAAAGCGCACTACTGATTCACTCTGACTGACTTTACTGAACACTCACATACACAGGAGGGCGAGAGAGAGAGAGAGGGGGAGAGAGAGAGAGAGAGGGAGAGAGAGAGCAAACAAAAAAAACCAGACAAATAATACAGTAGGCTGTAAGGCTAGCGGCCAGTTGGAAAGTAGATTGGAGGGCATCAGGAGAGCTGATGAAATCATTGCGAATATGAAAAAAGATAGATTGCCCCAAACAAGATCAGGAACCTGCACTGAAAAAGTGTTTCTGTAGCAGGTACCAGTAGTATGTATGCATCATATCCCATTGTCATACCATCTGTGAACGAGTGGCCCGTCAAAGGAGATGAGCATGCGCTTGGGCGAAGACCCTGAGGAGGCCATGTCCTCCCCCAAGAGCGGCGAGGGCTTCGGCCGCATCCGCCCGTGAGGTTTCAGTTGATTCATGATGAGTCAAAGCTTGAAAGGAAGTTCTTTGGCAAAGCATGACAGAACTTTCCCAATTTCAGAATGGAGCAAGCCACAATGGAAAAGCATCTTGTGAACGGGTGCAGGCTCGTTTTCAGCGAAAACAGCTTAGGCCTATTTGGCCATCGGTCGATCGAAATGATCACCTGTGTTTGGTTGACTGTTCCTAAGTTGATGTACTTTCTGTCACTCCTCCTTCAGCCAAACACAAGTGACATAACCTGATCGGCTTGGCTCCAGCAAAATGCGAGCATGCCGACGTAAAGTGTAACAGTGTAACACCTTTCCTGCTGGCGTCATCCGAAGCTGATGGAATCTGTTTTCCAGCTTCACGCTGTACCTTTCAGCGATTTCTCCCTCACGTGAAAAATCAGCTACAGTACATTCTCTTTCATCTTCTTCAAATCTTGCTCGAGCTCCTCTATGTACAGGTCTTTCGAGAAGCAATCATTTTCGGCCTCTCGTAGGTCTTCCTCATATCAAGCCATGAAATGGTGGTCGACCCACTGTGATGCCTGGGTCTCTCGATCCACCATTTCGACCTGCGCATTCATGTAGGTCTTCTTGATCTGAACCATGGCCTGTCCTTGTTCTTTCCGAACTTCTTCATGCCCTGCTTCAACTGGTACTCCTTCTCAATCTCGCGGAACTCTTCCTCACCCACGCTGTCACACACTGCGTCCACCATGTGGGTCATGTACTGCAAAACACGAGGCAGATTCTTGGCGCCGATGTCTGCGCTGTTTAGGTCTGTGGGGATAGGTGCCACCGAAAGGACCTTGTCTCGGCTCCTTCTGATGCGTCCAAGCGCCTCACACGACCAATGGTCATGCCTCGGGCTGCTATGATTTTGTTCCACAGGTGCCTCACTAACATGCCCTCTGAGCCCCCTGCCACCAGTGCCATGAACTCGCTCTCGCCCGATGAGAGGGCGGTAGCCTTCTGGCTCCTCACTTTGCTGTCGATGAGGTTGGAACACTTGCATGGAGGACGTCGACTTGTGTCTGTGACGATCTCCAGCAGATGCTCATCCGCATCCTCCACTTCATCAATGTCCCTGAAGTCCATCATGGATTGGCCCTTCCTTCGTTCTTCAAGCCTCACGCCATAGCCACCTGTCTCAAAGAGGCATGAATGCATTCTTCAAGGCGTGCTTTGTAGGCTTTGCCATGTGTCGGGCCAGGCACTGGATGTATTGCATCAGGCCGTTCTCCAGCCATGTACATGAGCCGCCCAACAATGCTCCTGTACTTTGTGATCTCACTCACTCCCGTCCAGGATCTCCGAGTCATCCTTCTTCGTGAAGTTGGCATCCAAGGAGTCTTTCTGTATAGAACTTGGAGTAGAGATCAATGTTCTTCTCGAAGCTGTCATACTGCTTTCGATCACACCTGCTGTCGCAGAGTCTCATGCCCGAGAACGTATTTCCTGTCTTAGATGTAGGCTGCAATCGACGTCTTGCAGGGACCAACCTCTCCTCAGCAGCTTTCCGGCACAGAGGATAGGGGGGCGAAGTCCTCCAAGATCTCCACAGTCTTACCTCTCCTGTCCGTCATTCGAATCTTTGCTCTGGCCACTCCTTAGTGGGCGATCTTTCGCCCCTTGAGCGTCTATCACTTCAGCCCATCATCTCCTTCTCTTCGTTCTCCGACACTTGCATAGCTCTTCGGGAGTACAGAGATGTCTGCACCGCTCTCTAAAGTAATCAGGCATTTCTCTTCCAGTTCATCTATAGCCACATCCTCTGGCATATCCGCAGCCGGCTCATAGCACTCCTGGTACTCGGGCTTCCTCAACGTCGTAGAACTCGTCCATCTCGTAGGTCTCAACAGACACCATACCCACACGCCATGGGAAATTGTCACCTCGTTCCTCACGCATTGTTTTCAAATCAAAAACATCCAATGACGCGGCCTCAGGGCGTCTGCAATTCTCACCATCTTCACTGATGTTGCCAGTAGAAGGTGAGCTTGCTCCTCCAGGATTTGACTGCTCCTCGACCTGGTTGACTCTTTTCCAGCATTCTCGAGCGAAATGGCCCGTCTTGCCCGCGCATGGCAAGCGCCGCTCTTTGCTCCTTTGCTGCCCTTCTCACTTGTCTTTCCTTTCTTCCCAGAAGCTCTTCCCTTTGTCAGCCCCTTTCCAGGAGCCTTTGCCATCTTTGGTGCACTTGCCCTTCTCCTTGCCTTTGTCCTTTCCTTTGGCAACCTTGCCTTTTGCTTTCGAGCCTTTCTTGCCCTTGCCAACCTTCCCAACATAGTCCACCTCCATCGGGGTTGCCTCATCACCAGTTGTTCTAGTGGGAAGCATCAGGGACAGGGAGTCGGCAGAATCCTCCTTGAGCTGCTCACAATAGATGAAGATGTTGGCGAATGTGCAATGGGCAGGCAGGCCAACAGTACAGCTGCAACCTTTGCATCATCTGAGTAGGATATGCGCTCGTACTCCAAGACCGGCCTCGAACTGCGGAAGCGGTTCTGACACTGTCTTTCCCTCCGCAAATTGAACGCGGGACAGTTGGCTAAGCAAAGCCAGCGCGCTGGCCCTTGTGGCCGGTTGCATTTCTTTCAACTATGTCTGCCGTTCTCGATCTTGACATGGCGGATCAACTTCAATGGGCATTGCCTCAAATACGAAGTTAACAGACTGTATAGTCTCACAGCTTTTGCCTTCGTTTCATCCGTCATGTCCTCAAGGCTGTAGTTCGAGTCCACGTTGCTCTCGACCATGTCCATGCTGGCCGCCATCGAAGGGTCAAGTCCCTTCACATAGCTCAGGAAACAAAATTTCCAGTCTCCCCACAACTTCAATTCTGCATCTCGTCCTTCTGGCTTGCAGACATCAGGCGTCTTCAGATGCCTTGCCCAACCTTGTGAAGCTTGATTCAGCGCCAGCCTCTCCAGGGCAGTTGCCACTCGTCGTAGGCTTTCCTCAGCCGTCGACCTCAACCCAATGACGTTGGGGATGTAAGTCTTCGTCTCCACAGGGGTATGGGGTACAGGCGCTCCAAATGCCAATCCAGCGTATGCTGGGATGTCCCAAAAGCGCCAGTTGTACACTAGCTCGCCCAACTTGTCCTCGTCGGTGTTGTCCCCCAGAAAGCTTCAATGCGCTTCACGAATCTCCACTTCGTTGGCACCACCACTATCACCTCCTTGAACTCAGACTGGTCCTGTCTTGTTGTCACCAGGACGGAAGCTCTCACGGCCTTCTCACTCTTTATCCACTTGATCTTGCTCAGGTGCTCCTCAGTCTCTACCACCAATGTATGGATCCTCCTCACTCGCGACTTGCCTGTCTTGGGCGAGATGGAGTTGGCCTGGTAGTACTGCACTTCCTCGCTTGTCGCTGCTCCAATCCCACCTGCAAGTCCTGCTAGTAGAAGTAATTCCAAGAGCCAGATCGATGTGAAGGAAGGTCCACCCCTGGATCGTGTAGCTCTCGATGTCCACGTCCTAGTGGAGAGTGCCGTAGAGCTCGTGCTCGTCGTGGTGCTCGTAGTGCCACGTGGGTAACGGAGCCCCGGTGCTTTACGACCAGGGCTCCGCTACCGTGAAAAGGTGCGGGCTCGTTTTCAGCGAAATCAGCTTGGGCCTATTTGGCCATCGGTCGATCGAAATGATCACCTGTGTTTGGTTGACTGTTCCTAAGTTGACGTACTTTCTGTCATCTTGGATAAAATCCCAGAGGAACTCCGACTTCCCGAAGTTCCAGCCGTTTCGTTTCCAGGAGCATCGGTCTGTTCAGGAAGTGGAAGTGTCATGAAGTATCCAAATATCCTATGGCTGGTCTGCAGGGTAACACCGATGCTGATTGGTGAGAACATTGCCGTCAAAAACTACCCGTTACTAGTACCAACCCACTCTCCCCATGCAGCCAACAAACTAGAGGGAAGACTGCGCAAAATTTGCTTCTGGGTGCCCGGCCTCCCTCAAATTTGCACAGAATGGCCACGCTAACCCAAACGTCGATTTTCTGTACGTTGACTCATGGGACCAACTGATGTCATTTTCTTCATTACTCGACAGATTCGCTGTGCTTCGCCTTCCCCTTGGCGCGTTCAATGGAGTTATCGCCATCGCTCGACCATTCACGGTCTCATCAAGGCAAACTACATCACAATACTAGAATAGCGGTTAGTGAAATTCTGTTGACCACGAAGCGTTGTCCCTGAATCACATGGGCCCATTGAGACGTTATGCTTGGTGGTGAAGTTGTGAAGTTGCTGTCTTCAAGGTCAACGGGCCCAAAACAGACCCAAAAGCTATAGTGTTATCGCTTGATAGTACCAAAGGATGTCTATACAGCTGCTTTAGGAGCCTGATGGTGGCAAATAGCATCGGGAGTCGATGTGTCAAAAGCCAGCAAAACTGACTTTAAGTGACAAGTGGACACCTGCGGATCATCTCAGTACAGCCCACTACCTGCCCAAGCCTGCAACAACAAAAGGATCTAATTTTGCGTTTAACTCAAGATGTCTGTACAAGGTTGAATCCCTTGTCTCTGCTCGCATTTGAAGAGCCCTGGACAAGGCCTTCTTGAGATCCTTCGCCAAGTCGACAGTCAGGGTGGGGCCTGAGACAAATCTGAACTGGAAGGGAGATCAACATAATTGGATTATATTTGGATTCTTAGAAGGGGCAAACAATCCTTGGGAAAACCAAAAAATCAAACTAAGACACGAAGGAAGCAAAAATTGACGTCCAAGCGATAGCACATCTCGAGATATCGCACCTATGACCTTTATACCACTCTACTAGCCTCGGTCTTCTGGGCAGGGAAACCAAGCATTGCCAAGTAGCTCCCTTCCAAGTCCTCTGGAGACCGCCGTTCCTCCGACCGGTGCTCCAAGGCCTCTGTAAGGGCAGAAACGCTTGCATATAGAATTTATGTAAGTCTATTATAGTATATTTTGTCTGATTTTGACCGAAAAAACACCATTCCATCACTGATGCAATGTCTAGAATACCTGGCCTGTCCTGGTTCAAACAGCATGGTTGCAGTCAAATGGTTGCAACCGAGCTGTTGAATAAACATGTATTGTAATTTTCAACAAACAGAAAGCAAACAAACAACGATACTTGAGATGATGGCCTGACTCCCACATAGCATTGATCTGTTCGCTGACCAGTTCCAGCAAAAACACAAAAATTGCAGGTCCGCATGGCCGTTTCCGGAAAGGAGATGATCGTGTTTTGTTTGATGAATGCAATGATGTCAAGGGTTCGGCAAGAAGTTTGGCCCTACGCGATGATCAAGCAAACGCAGCATCGTGCGAACACCAGGCTTTCGCTGCTACAATCTATTCAAAAGCAAGTGTTCTGACACTGGAAGAGGCCCCGGTACCATTAGGGAGTACAAAACACAAATGAAACGTTTAAATTGACGCAAAGCTGAATGAAGCGAAAGGCCGGGGCCCCTGACATAGCCCGGGGCGTAGCTTGGGATGTCAGCCGGCCTGTGTTAAGTTGCTTCAGCCAATCAAATCAACCACCGAAGATCAGAACAAAGGAAAGCATAATAGAGCACGCGAGAGCACGGCAAAATGCAACAGAATGCAAAGGTCCCCAAACATGAAGGGAATCAAGTTTCCCTAAAACTATAGAAACCAAATCATTAGCGCGAACTATCCTGCTTCCTGATACGTAACGAATTAAGCTACTAGCTACCTCTTCTACTAGCTACCTAGCTACTACCTCTGCGGCCTACCCTGTTCCCCCGTGCTTTAAAAAAGTATGTAAAAAATCTCACAGGTCTAAAGTCCATCAACAGTGCCCAAAAAGCCCATACGCCTGCCCAAGGCTCGAGGTGAAAGAGGTGTCTGTGCGATATCTTCTGGGCCGAAGTCATCTCGAAGCACCTTGTGAGGACGCGGTGGGTGCGGATACTGCCGCTTGCTTTTGATCCTAAAGGGATATGAGCGAACGGCAAAGCCTCCAAGCAAACGACAGGACTTCTGTATGCGGCTATCGATGTTTGATGATTTTGTAGTCGCTAAAATTGCTTCAGAGGGTTCTGAGTGGTTTGAAAGCACCTCGCAGATTTTGACATGCGGGCAAAGTTACGTCAATATACGAATGCTGAGCAGCAGCCGAAGGCAGCTCTTGTCAAAGGAACCGGCCTTTCTCTAGCAGTTGCCAGTGGGGCACTTGCCTTTGTAGAACGAAACTTCATCGTCAAACATGTTTGTCGGCACCGATGCACAGACTGCTTTGCCAAGCTGGATGTTGCCAACCTGTCTTCCATATGGCCCATTTGTGAGAACTTTGGCATCAATGTTCGTGACCTAAGTGGGGAGGTGGCCACTACGGCAGCCTTTGCGCAACAAACGGCTATCGTTTCGTTATCGATCAACGACTGGGATGTTTGTCGGAAAACGCGCGAGGAAACCTTGCGCAGGAGGCTGCAGAAACAAAGCAAGCGTCGTGCAGCCTGCCACGCGCGTAAGCAACTTGCCTGTAGCCAGTCAGTACGATAGCTTCCTTGCGCATAGTGCGCTAATGTTGCTAACAGCTTGCCTGTGACTACCCAGTCCACTAGCTTCGTTGTGTGCATGTAGCGTTGTGGAGCTTGAGGCAATCATGATCAACTTATTGTAAGTGGAACATGATCTCATAGTTCAAGTTATCGATTTTGGTAGTTCACTATATCGTTTTACTGGTTTTAGGCAACCTACATCATGGAAAGACCCCTCCAAGAGTAAACTCTTACATGAACAGTTTCGCCTGTTGCTGCCTGTTGCTTACATTGAATTGAATGGCCATCCATTTTTACAAGTACCACACACCCGTAATTCTTCAGGCCAAAAAATCAGAACTCCATCTGTCAACGTTCTGATGCTAAAATTCAAAGCCAACATAAACACAAAATGCTGGGAAGTGAGAAGAACTTGAGCAAATATCTTGTGGGCAACAATACAGTTTTGTGGCCTATCTTCTGGAGTCCGTACTTTTAAGCTAGTGCTAATTAAATCTCATTAAGGACAATCCAGCGTCGTAAGCTTTGTGATTTTCATGTCTCCTCGCCGTCCTCAACCCTTGTCCCTTTGCGAACGATCACCGCACCTGGATGCCATCCAGCTCTGTAGGCAGGTAGCAGCAACTCAGCCGGCAAGAAACAGAGACTGACGCAGAAACACGTAGAAACCAACAGATCTAGCTAACTAATGAAACTATATACTGCAGTAAACACAGTAGACAATAACACATGTCTTGAGACTGCTCCCAGGCAATCGGCACATGCAACATAAACCACTCAAGGATGTCTGCAGCTACACAAGCCGCCTGCAATCAATGACATGTATTGGCCGATTCTCTCCAAGCATCATACTTGTTGATCTGGTTTCACCCAACGGGTTAAAGAAACGCTAGCTGCTGGAAATGTCACGGCTTCATACTAGAAGAGAAACATTACTTCCATACGCGCAGGCTACAACATACTGTGAATTTATTGGTTGGCCCACCACTTCAGAATCCAGCCCAAATGGGCATAAGCATGTGCCAAGTGCTGCAGGGACATGTAGTAACCACAAGTTCAATGATTGCTGAATACCAAGAGTGGTCGCCCTTCCAAACCCAACATATTCGAACCTGAAACCCTGTTGTGCTACTGAGCCCCCATGCTGACCAACCTTCACCCAATTGCCACGTTTGCGGCCCACAACCACCTTGCCGTTGGCAGGGTGGTTTCACACAGCTTCGCATTCGCATAGCACCAGGTCACACTAATATATATATATACAGTATATATATATATACAGTATTTAGTTGCGTTGCTCAGCTTAAACTGTAGTTCATGGTGTTCTAGGACTGCCGTCTGCGGGTCCACCTCAATTTCAACTCAGTTGATCGTGAACAAACACCACCTGCACCACCATGTTGCTGTATTGCAATGTAGAGCCTCACCGGATACATAATCAAAATGAATTGAAACCAAACGTGTCCAACACGCGGAAACCTGCACTATGAAAAAATAAAAGAAACAAATGAACTGAGCACCCGAGGAGCCAAAGGATCCTTTGCTCTGGGACCTCATCTCTGATGTTTCTCGATTCGTGGACGCTCTGCCTGGCCCCAAACGGCAGTCTTTCCAGGGTCCACCTCAGGATACAAAGGCGCTGAGGGTAGCACGACTTCGAGTGCTCTTTGGTGCCCAGAGGCGCTTAGTGGTCGGTACTGTGCTTTGACCTTCAGACGTTCAATACTCTCATTTGAGCTTGTTTCAAGATATTACGAGAAGGCATCTTCCCATTGTTGTCCACAAACTTTTTGAGCGCCTGGACAAATATCCTCCAAAATATGATGCAGGGTTCTCTGGGAAAGGGTCAGGGTCGGGTATTGATCAAGGTGCTCGTGGCAGTTGGCGGCTAATTCGCTGCAGTTTCATTCACCTCGAAATCTTCAACCTGCCTTTTGTCTGCGCAGGCTCACAGAAACTGGTGGGCTCGAGCGGGTGCTTCCCTCGACTCTCATTGTGGTGCCATGCACATTCTTGGACTTCATGGTCACTTGTCGTGGCAAACGCAAGGGAATTTAAACCTCGTGTTTTGGTGGTCCAAAGTCGATTTTTCGTGGCAGGCACAGGGGATCGGAGAGGCTTTACTTCGATGTGCAGTGCAGATTTCGTGGCAATCGCAGCGCCTTGGACATGGTGGTCTTCGGCGCACTCTGATTTCGTGGCTGGTGTGGTGAATCGTGACGTTTGGGCACGCGCTCGTTTTCAAATCGAGCAAGCCTCGAGCGAAAGATGCCTTTTTAGCATGTTGGTGAATCCTTGATTTGCAGATTTCGTGGCAGGCGCGGCGCTTTCTGGATCTTGAAGTGCAGATTTCGCTACACGGGCGGCAAAATCTGAACCTCAAAGTGCAGATTTCGTGGCAAGCGCAGCAATTGTGCTGTCATATGTATTCTCTCATGAGCGCGCTCTTTTGTATGCGCCCTCATGTGTGTGTGTGTGTGTGCGTGCTCAAGACAAATGTGCTCTCTACATCTCTAGACCTCTCGGCCTCTAGATCTCTCTGGATCTTACCTCTAGAATTGACTTGAGACTCTACACCTTGCTATTGATTTTTCTGTGGCTTGCAGAACTCTTACATCTCTCAAGGTCTCTCTGGATCTCAAGAGT